TTCAACAACCTAAGCTCTGTGCACAACACTACTCCTTTATACTCATTTTTTTCCACCGCTCGCCGCGTCTTTGACACTGACGGTACGTACTCTTACCGTGGTCCATGTAAATTTCATCTGCGTTACTGTAATTTTTTATTTTTTTCCCTTTTACTGTATGCCCTTCGTCGTTACTTTGCTTATCCCCTGCTTTAGCCACTCTGTTTCTGTACTTAGTATATTTCATTCCCTCCTCAATATATTCCCTTATATCCTTTCAGACTAAACTCCCACTTCTCAAATATATAAATTTAGTTGTGTTACTTATCCATTCGGTGGTGGATTAAACTGAAAAAGAATTGCGGTAACAATTTGTTTATAAATTAATGGTAGTATGAGGTGGAATGGATTACTGGAAGTGAATTAAAAAAGGAAAGGTTTGGTCAACTGTTGCAGGTTGTGGTTAAAAAATGAAGATCTCAATATCAGCCTGCGCCTGCAAGCAAGAGCTGCCCCTAGTAAGTTTCCAAAAGGGGCTAACGATGGAGTCGTTGTTTCATCATCGGAGTAAGGACAAGGTGATAATCATAATGGGAGCCACGGGTACCGGCAAGACGAAGTTGGCCGTAGACGTGGCAAAACACTTCCAACCAGCGGAGATAGTGAACTCCGACAAAATGCAAGTGTACAAGGGCCTCGACATCACCACGAACAAGGTCACTGAAGAAGAGTGTGGCGGGGTCCCACATCACCTGCTTGGCACTGTTGACCCTAATATAAATTTCACCGCCAGCGACTTCTGTCGCCACGCCACATCCGCAATTGATTCCATTGTGGAAAGGAATGGCTTACCCATCATTGCTGGAGGCTCCAATTCTTACTTGGACGCACTCGTGAATCATCACGCAGAGTTTCGGTTAAGGTACAAGTGTTGTTTCCTCTGGGTTGACGTCTCTCTCCCCGTGCTCCATTCCTCTCTTCAGGAACGTGTAGACCGCATGATCGACGCTGGTCAAGTGAGCGAGGTTCGCGAATTCTTCGATCCTCGCGCCGATTACACCCGAGGGATCCGAAGGGCCATTGGGGTGCCCGAATTCGACGACTTCCTACGCGCTGAAGCTTCTGGAACCGAGGACGAGACAACCAGAAAGAGACTTCTGGAGGCTGCCATTGCCAGGATCAAGATCAACAACTGCACGCTCGCCAACCGCCAGATTCAAAAGATTCACCGCCTCCACGGGTTGTGGAAACGGAACATGCACCGCCTCGACGCCACAGAGGTTTTCCTCGGCTCTCGCGACGCCTGGCACGACCACGTGCTCGCCAAGAGCCTGGTCATTCTTCACAAGTTCCTTTTCGAGGAAAAGAAAACGCACGTCCCCGCCGGAATCGTGTCCCCGAAAGACGTAATTGCAGCTGTTTCTGCGCCGTCGGTAGCAATGGCAGCAACCCATTAGGGGGAGGAAGTAGGGCCAGAGAATCTATACACAAAAGGCCTCACCGTAGCGCATGCTTCACACTGTGGCAGTCCATATCTTTTTTATTTATATATATTTCAGGTCATGTCATTGGTAGTAGAAAATGTTTTACTATATATATATATATATATATATGAATATAAATATATATATATAATATATTCTGTTTAACTTCATGACAGGTTATGTTAAAATATGAATGTATTTCTTTATTTGGAGGGTTCTTTAATCTTTAGGGTTACATCAGTATCAAGAATACTTAAGTGTATTCTGTATAAATAATTAAATATGTTGTTAATGGAGCATAGCATATACGATCCTAGCTTTGTTGGCCAACGTCGTGGACCTACAGTGTAACCGCTGCACTCGGGAAATGCTTGTTAAATTAGATACTGATGTGACGGAATTTTATTTTTTATTTTGGCGCATAAACTATGATCTTCTTACTGCATACATACATATGGTGTCAGGCACTGCCGCTGTGATTAATAATAATCATTAGGAAAAAATCTGAAGAAAAAAAAGATTTGAAGCCAGTCAGGGCGATAAGCTGCTGTCACTATCAATGTTAAAAAAATGAATGCATAAGAAATCTTCTTTTTTTCTAATTCTGTTGTGTGTAGCCAGTCGAGAGTAAATTTTTGTTGAAAAGTGTAGGCAGCATGAGAAGAAACAGTTGACGAGTGTACCCATCGATTAATGAAAACACTAACAAGTTGCGATTTCTTTTCTTGTTACTAGCTGGTGACAGAGGGTAGTAGCTTTTTTGAAACAGTTGACGGTTTGTGACACTGAAGAAAAAAACCGTTTAAAAACAAATTTTAAGGTAAGAAAGAGGTTTTTGTTTTAATCCCGGGTCGATATTGTGTGAGAGTTCACTGTTCATAGTTTACATTGACTTTGTAGGAATGTAAGTAACTGAAATGAAGTCAAAGGCAGCGAAAAGTGATTTCCTACATCCTTAAATATGGGTTTTAATCTAAAGGCATGGTGCTGTGGTGAAATATATAGATTGGAGTGTCCGAAGTACCCGCGTACAACAGAGGAGAAGCATTATTGGGATGCGTGAAAAACGGTTTGAAGTTGATGGGTTGTGGGGTAAGTATTGTAAACTAGGATACAGAAGGAGGAGATGTTAAAAGAAGAAAGAAGAAGAAGATGAAAGATGAATGGTTTTATTCTTATTTACTTTTTGGTGGCGTTCCGTACTGATAGTTTGTGGTGCACCTGGACGAGCATGATGATTTGAAAGTAGGGGTATTTGGTGGGTCCAGTTTAAAAGGTTGAATTTGATCACAGTTAGTGATTGATGTGTGATGAGAATTCCATGCCCCACTAGTGGTGGTGGGGGCCAGACAATAGAATGGCCTTTTGGTCTTTTCATCAGGCTCCTTTGGATTGGATTTGGTGTTGAACTTGGCTAAACCCTGCCTCCTTCCCACCATGAAAAAGTCATCGTAACATGTACTCCACTATATTAATATTCATACACTCACATAAATAAATTAATGCATTCTCAATCACCGTCTATTCAAGATCCGGCGGGTGATGAACCCCAACCCCAGTTCAACAAACACCAACACGATTATGTCTTCGGCTGCCTTCTCTTCATTTTCAAAGGTATACAATTCCTCTCCAATAGTTATCTTATCATCTTTTTTATATATAATATAAAACCTTAACTGCTCAAACACTGCTTTCTTTGTAAAAAAGTATGGAAACAATTACCCACCATATTCTTATGCTAAGTGTTTATTGGGAATCTAGAAAAACAGACAAAAGGGTTAGAAAATAAAAAGGTGGGGGCAAGCTCTTGAATAACCTCTATGTCTTCTTCATCTCACATGATTCCAACCAATATATAACACACAGCTTGCCTTTATACTCCCACTCACCACCCCATATTTTAAAAGTTAAAGTGGACCCATATTAAGGGCATATTTACAAATATATATATATATATATATATATATATATATATA